TGCTACTACGAATGATGGGAGCTTCCATCTTTAATCTGAAGACACTTAAAGCGTACACGCCATCTCGTGGCAACTTTCATAACGATCCCAACGAACATTCTTTTGAGAAGGTTCCTGATACCATCTCTGTGCATTCCACTTTTCGGCGTGTATGTGAACACATTTGGGAGCTAAGCAGGTTTACTAGAATTCCACCACTCCACCACAGAGTCACCGCTGTAGAACGTTAGAATGAACGCTGTCGCTATGGCGGCACTTGTTTTGCCGTTATTTTGGCTTTTTTGTGCAATATTATTTTTGCGCTAAAATACTCGTCACGTCCATGCTGATTGAGAATATAGGCTCACGGGTGACCCCCTGGCAATGCCCCCTGGCGATGCTAATTCGTTTTTTGGCCTAAAATGGTTGTCGCGTCATGCAGATACATGCGTCTAAACAGAGGAATTTTGCTACCCGACTGTTGATTGAATCAATAAAAACCCGGCGACTTACGCGCTATTATGCTATGACCGGGTAGAACGTGTACTTAATATATATATGGAGCGAAGGATTCAAGTTTAGCATGTTAGAAATTTATAGGCTATTATAGACCACCATGCATGTGGGAGGTGGTGTCTAGCCTTAACATCGTTAGTCTACTTACTATCCTCGTAGTACTGTACTTATAATTACAGCTATTAATAATTACTATAATATATAATTACCTCATAGGTCCACCGGCTATGGACGCGGTGAAACCGAAAACCTCACCAATTGTATTGTGATCTATGCAATCTGGCAATGACAGGTGCGGATCTAGCTAATTATACGACACATCATGTGACATGCTTGTCAGCCTTATAATCTTAAGTCTACATATATAGCCTGATAGTACTATTAAGTATGACAATGAATACTATAGTAATTATACTAATTATATAATAATATAATATATTTGATATTAAGAATTATTATATTGATAATTACATATTTATTAGTATTATTAGTATAATTACTGATTAATATCATAATACTCACATAGAGCACCCGGCTATGACCGGTGACAACGAGAACTGAACGAATTGTATTTTGATCATGGAGATCTGCAATGACAGGTCGCAGCAATTCCTCTGTTGTAAGACGCATGTATGCGATTGAAAATATATATGGTGTTGGGGGTGACCTGTTAGGGGGGAGAGAGAAGATAGAAGGACTGACACAGGCGCACAGAAAAACAGACGTCCGCCGCTTTTGGCCTAAAATGGGGCCCAAGGATAGATGAACATGGTCGCCAATAAAACCAATGTGCCTAACCCTAACCCAACTCTACATTCTAACCCTAACCTTATATTGATATAGCATATTATATTTATATTAGTGAATAAATACATTGGTTTTTATGGGACCCTGTTCTGCTATCCGCATCGTTCTCTATGCCCTTCGAATGCCTAAAGACAATAAAATGGTCGTGGCGAGCTGATACTTGCTGAGAGGCTAACTTCTGTGCTAAAGTAGAGCGACAAACACTGAGTGGTTGCGGGAAAAAATAAGCAGCTAGGATTGCTGTGTAAGCTTTATCGGATTTTAACCTTAATGAGGGGTGTGCTCCTTCGATAGCTAATAATTCAGGTATTGTTATTGTTGCTGGTTAATTTGACAACACAGCGTACAAAAACTACACTGGCGAAAATTCGCGAGACTGGCAGTAGGTGGGTATATAGCGCCACGCGAAGAGCCGCGGACATTTATTAAAATTTGACATTCTTGGTATTTTTTAGTATTGGTTTTATTTTTTTTTGCGGTCTAAAAGTGGTCCATACCTATCTTAGTACTTATTACGCATGTATTGCTGATTAAGATATATAATGGTGTTGGGGGTGAACTCTTACGCTGGAGGGAGAAGATCAGACAGACAGACCAGACAGACCAGACAACAAAAACGGGCATCAGCCTCTTTATATAACGTATGATTATGATATATAATATTAATTATATATTATAGCTGTTAGTTTGGCATCTGTTGTAGAGCATGACTCATATATGCAGCTTTCTTGATGCACTTGTCTTCTCTGCATGCAACGTAACCTTGGTAAAGGGCATTCTCCCCTGACAACCGTCATGTCTATTATGTCAACCATATACTACACTTGGCTATTCCTTCCAGTACTAGCCGGCAAAACACGCTGTGTACGTTGAGCGGCACATACCTGGCACGCAATTGTTGGATTATGATTCACCTGCCGTTACCACCGCGCGCGAATAGGCGCAGTCGTGCACCGTATATACACGGGACAGTTAAAATGTGTTTACGTTATATATAAGATTTTCCGCTCCGTTGGTTCTGTTGATTGTTTGTAACGCGACGTTGATTGTGTCGTGTAAAATAGTCACTAATTTGTTGCACTGTCCTAAGAATAACGTCTATGACACACTTTAATGTTGGTGGTAATGGGGGCGAGAACGCCGAGAAGGAAGACTGGCTCGAAATTGTAGCGTGTACGCGACGCCGTTGTTTCGTCACGGCTTTAACGTTGTGTAGCAAGGGATAAATTGGGTAACAAGTTTTACGGGTAACAACAAGTCACGGGTAAATCAATTGTGTACAAAAAGAACATGTACACATAACATCGACATAGATGATGTACATACAGAGCCATTGATTAGACGTAGCTGCTAACAAGTGTACGAGGCACAATCAGCTACAAGTAGACTGGTTTATAGCAAGCACAAGCAAGTACACGCTTAGAAGTGTAAAGCCCGAACTGCGATGCATGTAACTAAGTGTACAGAAGCTCAACGTGTGGGAAGAATAGATTCAGTTACTGTGATTTACGCACCCGGGAATGTTTGCCATATAATCGATGCGTCTGAAATAGCACACGTTCCTACGAAAACAGTGGCTATTTACGCGCTAGCAGTGCACAGACTAGCATTCGACTGTTCAGCCGCTGTGTGAGTAAACGGCGTGGGCGCCCATAGTTAAGCTTGACTGAGTTAACAACCTAAACGTAGAAGCCCAGCCGCCTAATCGTGAGTGTGGCCACTTGGTTGACTGACTCGATCATGGTCGTGCCAATTCGCCGTGTCTTTCGTCGATACAAATTATTGACAATTGATCGAGGTTTGAGCTAGAAGTGGGCAGTGGCACGGCAGGCTAGGTAGGAGTGCTAGGCAGGAGAGCGAGTGTGTGCGTGTGTCGACCCCGCCTCGAGAGGAAGAGAGAGAGGGGGAGAGAGAAGCAAGAGAGAGAGAGCCGAGAGGAAAGAAGAAGAGAGAGAGAGAGAGAGAGAGAAGAGTGAAGAGAGAGAAGAAGGAGAGAGAGAGAGAGAAGAGTAGGAGAGAGAGAGAGAGGCAGAGAGAGAGAGAGAAGAGAAGAGCGAGAGAGAGAGAGAGAGAGAAAGGAGCGAAAAATGAGAGAGAGAGAGAGAGAGAGAGAGAGAGAGAGAGAGAGAGAGAGAGAGAGAGAGAGAGAGAGAGAGAGAGAGAGAGAGAGAGAGAGGAGCTCGCGAAGGCTCCGCCTTACTTGCGTGATTCATCGTCGAGGAGTAAGGCGCCCGAGGGCGTTAAAAATTAACGTAGGGTGCGTGTACGAGAGCCGTACACAACAGACGTAATTATATCAGGAGTCTATCAACATATGATTGACTCCTGATTATATAACAGGTGATACGTGAGAACGCGTCGCTGCCGTCTAAAGCATCGTAGTTCGTCGGCAGAGAGGCGGGTGTGAGCGTGGCGCCGCGAGAGAACCTGTGCGTGTGCTTGCCTCCAGCAGTTTGGCTGCTGTGGCGGTCGGTGTTCACGGCGTGTGCTTGCTATATCGACACCGCATTCACGATTGCCGCCACCCGATTCCGTGCTGTGTGGAATTTCTCGAAGTGAAATCCAGCGGTTTGTTCGAATCGTTGTTCGAATTCTCGGATCGCCGGTTACGACGGACGGAGTATAGGCAAGCAAGTAAAGTGCGCGAGTATAGTCGGCTGTATAGCGGAGACGCTGACGGGGTCGGCGACAGTGCAGCCTGCAGTGAGGTCGCCCGTAATAGGTTACCGCGCCAGCGAGAGACAGAGAGAGTCACACAGAAAGCCGTGTGTGTGCGTGTGCGCGTGGTTGGGTAGTGGTGGTAGCGAGGCGCAGCCCCGTCTGTGCGTGTGTGTGTGTGTGTAGTATGTGTGTGTGACTGACTGTGCAGCCCGGCAGCTAGGCGGGCCTGCTGTTCGCCCGTAGGCGTGGCAGACAACCACGTAAATACAGACAGCCGCACGCTGTGGCCTGCATATGTGTGTGTGCGTACGCGCGCGTGTGTACCCGAGCCAGCGCTAACGTGGGTCTCTTCCCCCAACACGTACATGCGTGCGTGCGTGCGTGCGTGCACTTTAATCCGGTGACTTCTGTGGTCTCCGCCGCTCGCACTCGCTCCTGCTGTGCCGTAATCCCGTGAATTATGTATTCGTGCTATTGATTGATCCGTGCGCAAACTGAATACGGAGAGATTTGCGGGACGTAGGCTGCGGCAGTGACGACGAAAGGAGCAGCATCCCCGGTGACAGGAAGAGGGTGCTGCTGTTGCTAGGGAAGCCATTTGTGCTTCCTCGGACAGTTTTCCCGCATCAACGTCGTCATCCTCCCAGCTCCGTAGCAGCTGCCGTTCGTGCCGGTGGGCGTGCGTGCGTGCGTGTGTTAGTGTCGTTGTTTGCTGCACAGAAGGAGGAGGCCAGGCGGTCGATCTTCAAGTTGGATTTCGCGTTCAGTTCGTGTCGTTGTACACACACGTGTGTTAGCACGTGATCGCCCTACAGCTTGATACTACGCAACGAGGGCGCGTGAGTTGGCGTGCGTAAAGAGTTACAGCTTAACTGACGTACGTAAGTCAACTGCAAGTGCAACGTACTGTGCTTCCTAAGAAGAGGCAGCTGCAGCAAGGGCAGTAGAAACAACTGCAGCAGTAGTAATAGCAGCAGCAGCAGCAACAACAACAACAACAACAACAACAACAACAACAACAACAACAGCACCACCAGCAGCAGTAGTAGCAGTAGCCGTAGCAGTAACAGCAGTCACAGTCTTAGCAGCAGCAGCAGCAGCAATGCCTTACAACAGGAATGGTTACGAGAGCACCGGCTCCTCCCTGACCGGCTCACACTGCTCGAACTCCGACGAGGATCTATCGAACCCCGCCGTGTCCTACAAGGTGACGTGACGCTCGCAGCAGCTTCCTTTCTCTTCCCCAGGGAAGTAGTGCAAGGCTTCCTTTCTCTTCCCCAGGGAAGCAGTGCAAGGCTTCCTTTCTCTTCCCCAGGGAAGCAGTGCGTGGCTTCCTTTCTCTTCCCCAGGGAAGCAGTGCGTGGCTTCCTTTCTCTTCCCCAGGGAAGCAGGTGCGTGACTATCTTTCTCTTTCCAGGGAAGGCAGGCAAGGCTTGCCCTGGTTCCTTTCTCTCAGCCGTAGGGAAGTGTACAAAGGCTTTCCTTTCTCTTCGCAGGGTACAGTGCGGCTTCCTTCTTGCTCCAGCATGAACGCTCGCAGCAGCTATCCTTTCTCTCCCCAGGGAAGTAGTGCAAGGCTTCCTTTCTCTCCCACAGGGAAGTATTGCAAGGCTTCCTTTCTCTTTGCCCACAGGAAGCAGTGCGTGGCTTCCTTTCTCTTTCCCAGGGAAGCAGTGCAAGGCTTCCTGGTTCCTTTCTCTTCCCTAGGGAAGCAGTGCGTGGACTTCCTTTTCTGCCCCAGGAAGAGTGCCATGGCTTCCGTGGTTGCCTATTCTCTATTCCAGGGACAGCAGTGCGTGGCGCTTCCTTTCTTCTTGCCCAGCAGGGAAAGCGGTGCGGCTGGCTTCCTTCTCCTCTTCCCGCCCAGGGAAGCAGTGCGTGGCTTCCTTCTCTTCGCCAGGTGAAGCAGTGCGTGTGCTTCCTTTCTCTTCCCAGGGAAGCAGCTGCGGTGGCTTGCCTTTCTCTCCCAGGGAAGCGGTGCGTGGCTTCTCTTTCTCTTCGAGGGATGCAGCTGCAAGGCTTCCGGTTA